TTTAAGAGATAGATATTATTGTCTTTTATTTTCATCACAATGCACATATATACAACACTATGACGATAAGGATTAAATTATTTTAATAATAATAATTTTACATACTATCAAATTTAATCATTATAATAAATTAAAGTATATAATGAAATATCAGTTTAAGTATTGACTTAGTGAATTTTTTTAAAAATTAATTATTATTTCATACGTAAAATATTATACAATATTATTTTATTATTGCATCACCGCCATGCTGTAGCAACCTTAGACTAGAAGAACATTCTACACTTTACATAGTACATACATACGATATTATCAACCGTGGCTTTTGCTGAAGTGCTATGCTATGTTTTATGGTACCATGTGTTCGTTACGGTGTCTGCATGTGGAAAGAACCTTTCAGCTTTTTGATCGCGTACCCAAATAATGAACCCATGAAGGAAATATCAAATATACGATGTTCTAAAGAGATGGCTGGTCGTACACGATTGCGAATTTGAAGTCTTGTCAAATTTGAAACAAATTGAAAATTCATTCTAATGTGACAGAAGCAAGCAATTGACTTAATATATTCCCACGGGAAATTAAAAATAAAATAATATGATAGGCTTCAAATATTCCAAAATGATCACTTTCTTTTCAAACTTCTTGAAGAAAGCTAACACTGTTGTTGAAGGAAAGAAGGAACTATCATTGCAGTTTGGAAAAAACAGGAGAGAAAAATAAAAATAAAAAAGTATGGAAGATGTAACGACTGATATGACCAAAAAAATAGAAGTTGAAAGCAAAATTTTAATATGTCACACTTTTATAAAAGATTGTAAAGAGATATATTAGCACCCTATATATTTTATAAAAGTGATTGTAATTTGATGTCACAAACCTCCCAAGACTCTATATTTTTGTCATATGTCACAGTTTGGGTAAATTTTTATAACATTTTTTTCTAAGAAAAAAACTAATATAAAAAATAACCTATATTTTTATATTTTAAAAATATTTTTATCCTATTTTTTGATAATTTTTTTAAATGACCAAAATTGAGCCTTAATTACGTAAAAATCAAGTTCAAATGATGAAAAACAATTTTCTCTAGTTTGCTTCCTCTGTTTTGAAATAGTCTAAGGGTCAGGAAACAAAAAAAAAACATTTTTATTTAGTGGATGGTTTATTAAGAAAGAATATATATATATATATATATATATATATATATATATATATATATATATATTCTGGTGAATTATCTAATATATGAAGATAAACTTGAAAATCTTGAATTCTACTTCTTATCCTTTAGTAGAGGCAAGAAACACGAAAGAGAGAGAGAGAGAGAGAAATCGACAAAAACAAAAGAAAAAAACACTGGGCTCTAAAATTTTTTATATTTTCCTCTGTAAGAAATATTTTATCAAGATTTAGGGTAATTATTTTGGTGAAAATTCAACAAGACTAATTATTTTATATTTTCTTATGAAGATAAAAATATCCTTAAAATAAAATATTATTTTGTTTTTTATGTCTGATAAAATAAATAAAGAAAATACTTTTTTTCTTTTTATTCTTCTCAATTTAAATAATATAAAACACATGTATCCGTTTTTTTTACCTGTATTTTTCCTTTTGTGTTTTTATTTTTAAATGTTTCTTTTTCTCCCTCTTGTCAGATCTAAAAACTTCAATTCCAAGCTGGCAAATATGGTATTTGTTGAGTTTAAGATAATCATGCAAACATAACGGATTAATTGAGTCGTTGTTTTTAATATATGGGTGGAGTTGGTATAATGGAATTTCAGCTAATTTACGTATAATATAGACGTACGTCATTAACATATTTAGATTTTTTTAACTTTCACTCCTACCTAATTCACAGTTAAGACATCTAACTAAATCGACCATAAAATCTTATTTATAGATAAAATATAATAAATTGAATTTTTACTCTATTAATTACTTTTTTCTTATTAGCTAAATCTTTTCATGCTCATTAGACTTGAAAATAAAAACTATACTTCAACTTGTTATTATTAATATTAATGATACAAGAGGAATACTAGCAACACTCTATGACTATGACATGCTCTTTTAGAATACTTCTAATTATTAATTAAAAATCATCAAAGTATAAAATGTTTTATTAAGTATTTTTTGAAATATAATTTTGTATCATTCGATACATGTGTGTCTATTGAGTTATTCTTATTTTAGTTTTCAGCATACACACATCTGTATATACAGTGACAACGGCAGCATAAGAACAATCAAATTATAACTCCTATTACTGTGTTTACCGGTTTAACAATAAAATATAAAAATATAAAATTTAGATGGATTATCTTTTGTGTTTGTAATATTATTTTTTAGTTTAAAATTTTATCTTAATGATTTATATTTTAAAATTCAACATTATAAATTAGTTTAAATTATTAAAAGAAAACTTTAATTTTAATTAAAAACAATATCACAACCATCCAAAGAATAATAACTAAATTATTTAATGTAAATTCTATTTTATTTTATTCATCATTAGATATCGAAACATAATTTAAAAGCTCGACTTTAAAATAATAGTTCGGCAGCTCACTCAACCTTGACAAATGCCACACGTCGCTGAATAAAAAATACGTGCTTAGTTTTTGCAAGCTTTTTTATTACATGGTTAAGTTATATATAAATATCATTATAAAATATCGCTAAAATTTATGACATGTTATAATTTTATACTTTTTTTAACATTTTTTTTGTCCGAAGGAACGTTTATGATAAGCCTGAAGAATGAACAAATGGAATAAAAAAAATATTATAAAAAATTATATTCACATACTCAAAAATTATATTTCGTAACTTAACTAATTATACACAGTTGAGAGGACCATTGTTTAAGTTATTCTAAAAAATACAAGTTTGACGCAATTAACGTGAACTCATTGTGATACCCATTAATGAATTGCCGTAACAAAACGTTATTATGTATTATATGAAATTTTTTTTTTAATAATTATGATATTAATGATCAAAAATCATAAAAGGTGTTTAGCTCATTGTACGATGCGAAATATTTTAATAGGTGGTAGTGCTGGAACAGAATGCTCCAAGCAAAGTACGAACAACAGACAATTAAAAGGTTTACAAGAAAAAAAAAATACAGCACGAAGAAAAGGTTTCTTTCATTCTCTTTAAAAATAAAAATAAAAGAGGTTTTTTACAATTTGGTGAGAGATTAAAGAAAATAAAACTGGAGATTACATTAATATTTCTCACATTGATTATAATTTTCAAATTATTTAAGAAAATTAATATATATATTTATGCAATATATTATATGAATTATATTTTTGTTAACTTCTACTATAGTTTTTTTATACCTGCCTTTATATATAAGGATGGATTTGCATTGTTCATAATGGGCCAACTGCTTCTAGAAGGTTTTGTCAGTAATACATGTGTTAATGTTTAGTGATATTAAATTCAATGTCGTTCAACTATTTAACTGTTTGCTTTTAATATTGTTTCATAAAATGATGATAAAATTATGTATGTTACAAATAAGTTAAAACTTTTTAATTCATGAAAAATTAATGTATTGTTAAATGTTATGTGTTTAGAACTTAAAAAATAAATAAATAAAACTTAAAATTTGATAAATTAAAAATATGAAATACATAACAAAATAATTAATTTTTTTTGCAGGGAAAGCTTTTAGTGTTACATATGCATCGTTACAAAAGATCAATGAAGAATAAAAAATGCTCAAAAGAGTTGTTAAAATATATACATTGATAATGTTACCCCTTGTTTGTTTCCATAGAATTGGCCAAAAGATATCTAGATAAGTGGGGGGGTTATATTTTTTTTTTTTAGTTAAAATATTTTATAATTAAAACATTAATATATATAAAATTTATAACCTTTTTCTTTTTACTGTCTTTCATATTTTTCGAATTATAAATAACTTCAAAGTTATTTATTTTTTATGAAAAAAATTAACTTGAACTCTTAAGACCAAGTTTAAATAATTAATAACAATAAAAGTGTATAAAAAATTATAAGCATTTGGTATATATTTACAATGTCAATATAATAAATAATTTTTTCATAAAAATATCGTATTTAAATGTTTAAACTTAATTATAAAAATTGCGAAGTTAGTATTTTTATTTTTATTGAATTTTGTTGATAGGTGATGTTAATTAATACTTCAAGAGTACTGGTTACCGAATTAATAAAGAATGAATTTTTATTTAAATATGTTAAAATATATAAAAATAGTGTATCTTTTTAACAAAATATTTTTAATTTTTACTGTTTAATTTTTTTATTAACTTAAAATTTGAAAACTTAAGTTTAAACATTTAAAAGAGGTGAATTTTTACAATGTCAATGTAATAAATATATTGTTTATAATAAAAAAAATCATATTTAAATGTTTAAACTGAATTATAATGAGTGCGAAGCTAATATTTGTTTATTTATTGAATTTTGTTGATAGGTGTTGTTAATTAATACTTAAAGAGAATTGGTTAGGGAATTAATACACAATAAAAAAAAATGTTATTGATAGGTGTAATTGTTACGAAAGTATTTGTTAGTTTTGTTTGAAGGAGGATAAGTGGAAGGGGGGATTGTATGAGGAGGAAAGGGAGGAAGATGAAACGGAAGGGGGGGTGTTGAGTGTAGAAGAAGAGAAAGGGGGAGAGGGATAATTTGAAATGAGGAAGCGTTATTGTTATTGTTAATGTTAATGTTAATGTTGTTGGTGGTGTTGTCGTAAACGATGTTTCCCACGTCATAGGGTGGCCTGACCTAGCTGGATCTGAACCCCACCATAGCCCCACCCTCGCCTGCCTCTTCTTCTCCCCAATCCCCGCCCTTTGTCTTTTATTTTTATTTCTAATTCTCATAGCTGCAGCCCCCGTTCCTCTCCCTCTCAAATTTGACTTCAAATCTCACTCTTTTTACAATCAAAATAAATCCTTATCCACCCTCGCCATTGGACTTAGAACACAATGGGTATGACCACTCTAACATCCTCTGTTGTCTCCTTCTCCTTCAAGGACTTAACACCCTACTTCCTATGCTTCCTACTCCTCCTCCTTCTCCTCGAACAGATCTCCTACCTCCTCAAGAAGGGCTCAGTCCCAGGACCAGCCCTAGTGCCACCCTTCCTAGGCAACGCAATCCCATTGGTACGAAACCCAACAAAGTTCTGGGACCTGCAATCCTACCTAGCCAAGTCCACCACCCTAGGATTCTCCGTCAACTACATCATCGGCAACTTCATCGTCTTCATCCGAGACACCGAACTCTCTCACAAAGTCTTCGCCAATGTCAGGCCCGACGCCTTCCGCCTCGTCGGCCACCCCTTCGGCAAAAAACTCTTCGGGGAACACAACCTCATCTACATGATGGGCCAAGACCACAAAAACCTCCGCCGTAGGATAGCCCCCAACTTCACCCCCAAGGCCCTCTCCACCTACACAAGCCTCCAGCAAATTATAATCCTCAACCATCTCAAGTCATGGGTCCAGAAAGCCCAAGCCCAACAACACTCAATTCCCCTCCGTATCCTCGCCCGCGACATGAACCTCGACACTTCCCAGACTGTCTTCGTCGGCTCCTACTTGGGCCCAAAAGCCCGAGAGCGCTTCGAGCGTGATTACTTCCTCTTCAACGTCGGCCTCATGAAGCTCCCCATTGATTTCCCCGGCACCGCGTTTCGAAACGCGAGGCTCGCCGTCGACCGCCTCGTCGGAGCCCTGGCCACCTGCGCCGAGATGAGCAAGGCGAGGATGGAGAAGGGAGAAGAACCTTCGTGCCTCATCGATTACTGGATGCAGGACACTCTGAGGGAAATCGAAGAGGCAAGGCTCGCCGGAGAGCACGTTATGCCGTTCACCTCGGACGCCGAGATCGGCGGCTACCTCTTCGACTTCCTCTTCGCGGCGCAGGACGCGTCCACGTCGTCGCTGCTGTGGGCGGTGGCGCTTCTGGACTCGCACCCGGAGGTGCTGGCGAAGGTGAGGGAGGAGGTTGCCGGAATCTGGTCGCCGGAGTCGGACGTGCTGATAACTTCGGAGCAGCTGAGGGAGATGAAGTACACGCAGGCGGTGGCGCGTGAGGTGGTGAGGTTTCGGCCGCCGGCGACGCTGGTACCGCACATCGCGGCGGAGAGGTTTCCGCTGACGGAATCTTATACGATACCGAAGGGAGCAATTATTTTTCCGTCGGCGTTCGAGTCGTCGTTTCAGGGGTTCACTGAACCGGACCGGTTTGATCCGAACCGGTTTTCGGAGGAGAGGCAAGAGGACCAAATATTTAAAAGAAACTTTTTGGCGTTTGGGGCTGGGCCCCACCAGTGTGTGGGCCAGAGGTACGCGTTAAATCATCTTGTTTTGTTTATCGCCATGTTCTCAACGTTGATTGATTTCAAGAGGGACAGAACTGACGGCTGTGATGAGATCGCCTATGTCCCCACTATTTGCCCCAAAGACGATTGCAGGGTTTTCCTCTCTAACCGTTGCGCACGGTATCCTTCCTTCCCTGTGGTGGATGAGCTTGTCAAATGACTGTAATGCCCTTCTCTTGGGTTTGGTTGTGGGTTGCAGGTTACCTCTTTTCTTTTGTTCTTCTAATTTAATTTCATTTGTGTCTTGTGTTTAGCCACCACAAACAAAAAATTGTGTTGACTTTTGTTCTTTGGATTTGTTGGTTTTATGATTCTTGTAAAAGTTTTTGTATGTGGATGTGAGAGGTCATTGGATGGTGGATGATTGGGTGCTTATTAGCAATCAAATAAAATGATACTAAAAAGAAAAAAAAAGAAAAAAAGACATGAAATTCATTGAGATTGCCTTTATAACTGTTGGGATGCCACTTTGTCCCTTCTATCTTGTGTAAATATCTTCTGTAAAGGTGTTTTTCTTTTGGAGAAGACAATTTAAATACTTGTGAATGTCACGGATGATGAACATTATTGTTCCATGTCTGTATAGCTAAATCAATCATTATTAAATAGAATATGTAGGAGCAGCTCACGTGTCCAAAGTTTAAACCAGGATTTGTTAGGGCCTAGCTAGGTTTTAGTAACATTTTTTAATATTGTTTAAGTCTCTTTTTTCGCAAAGATTAAAGGAATACATGTCTTAAAACGTCTCTTAATATAAATTTTTAATTAAAATCGCAATTCATTTCACAGTACGAAACATGTTTCGAAGGGTGGTGAAGTTTAAGGTGGTCAAAATATTTCACGTGGTCACAGGTGATGAAGCAAGGTGACCCAACCACACATGTCCTTAACTTGTTTGCTTTACAAGTCCTCGTAAAATTAAAATTGCAAAACAGTAGTACTTTCACCCTCCCGACCATCTTCTCTTTCTTGTGCCACCAAACGACTTCGAGGAGATTATTTTCATGGAAGTGGCATTTACCTTCTTTAGTACATAGCTCTCTTCATCTTTTCTTTACATAACTTCTCTTTGCCCCGCACGTTATTATTATAATCCTATGCATGGTAGGATGCGACTCGTATGATAATAAAAGTCTTATATTATTTACTAACAAATCCATAATATATAAGAGAGTTACCGATATAAATTTCACAAAGTATTTTAGAAAAAAAATATATATTCAAATTTAAAGTTTACCCTTCTCCAATCTTAGATTGATACACACAAAATTTTGATATGGAAAGAAAGAAGTTTCAAGCTTTTGCAGCCAAACACAAATTATCATGCTTTCAATAGCTTAGACGCTTTCTAATTCTGTTAGTATTACTATTATATCTATAACCTTACAACATAAACAACTCGTATCCTTTTGGGATTGTGTCATCTAAATACAGTAAAGTTTGTACTTGTAAAGTACACAACCCCTTTTCTTCAAATTCAGCAATATTATCTATCCACTTGGTGTTCTTAAAAAATGTGGAAAGCAATGACTTGCTACTTTATGCTCTACACGAAACCCATTTTTCAACTCCAGATTGGTTCCTGTTTCCTCCTTATTGACAGAAGGCAATTGTTACTCATAATGACATCGAAACCGTGCAATCAACATTGTCACGTACTTCAATGACCTCGGAGACTAACAAACATCGGATTCAATGGAATCAATTCTCTATCTATTAATATCATGTACTCATAATAACTCTAATTTGATATTTTTCAATCTAATTAGTTAGTTTCATAATTTAACCCTTGATTTTTATTTTATCATTTTAATTTTCATTTTCATTTGATTTAATCATGATGACATAGCAAATGATCCCTAAGAGAAGACACGTAACAAATAGAGGTAGATTTTGTGGTCACATACCACATGGCATTGATTTTGGATGTGGCACCAAATTAGAATTAAGCATCCTTCAATGCCGCTATTTTGCGTCTTCATCTTCGTTCAGAACTCTTCTTCCTCGATTCTTGTTGTAAAGTCAAGTTTCGCTTCCTTGGGATCTTTTGTGTTCTATTTAAAGGCTTCAGCCACTGATTCATGGATTAATTGGTCAGAGTCAAAGTCAGCTAATTGAATGCAGAGAAGAATCCAGAATGTCACAATTCTTTACAAACTTTACACATTTTCATTTTTTCAAATGTCGGCTAATTGAAAGTTTGTTGTTGAAGGTTAACTCTTATTTATTTTTTCTATTTTTATACTTTACAAAATTATTTAATATATTTCAGTTAGTTTTACTAAACAACTTTAATTTAATTGGTTAACTTTACAAATAAAATGTTATTGAAGAAAATTTGAGCAATAAAGAAATAAAATGAGAGGGGCTTCCTAAATGATCCAAAATATCATAAATGTAGTTTGGTGGCTTCTAAAAAGCTGTTCAAAAAGTTGTTTGTGTCTTATTTTATAAACCTTGTCGAAAATAGGTATTACGTAAAAAAAAAGTTATATCAAGTTAAGATATCCACTTCAGGCACATTGACTTTTATAGGTTAATGTAAAATACTTTATATACTTATCAACTAACTATACTCTTATCATAATATTAGTATAGTCACCACTAATAAGTAATATTCATATAGTTGTCACTTTTGAAAAAAATTACTAAAACATCTATAGTCGTCAAAGATTTTTTCTTAAAGATTAAAAACTTAAGAGTAAAAAATGTTATTAAAAAAATTGAAATATATAATTTTATCAATGTATTTATTATGATTTTAAAAAAATTGGTGTTATTTTTTATTTTTTTTCTAATTTGGTTATTAAAAGATTAAGATTGTGATTTTATTTTTTAGTTGTTAGTTCTTTAATTATTATTCTTAGAAAGAAAAAAAACTTCTAAAATATGATTTACAGAAAGAGTGAGATAGAGATTGAGCGTAAATTTAAAAACACTCTATCCATTTTTATGTCCATTTTGAAGAATATAATTAATATATATATATATATATATATATATATATGATTAATTGCTTCTTAATTTTTCATATATGATTAGTATATAACAAAATTAAAATTCACAATAAAAATAATATTATGTTAAATTTTTTAATAAATTGGTATATATTCTATATATTCTTCTTTTTTTTATATACATATTATTCTTTATTCTTATAAGTTGTACTTTTTTTATGAATTTTAATATAAAAATATTTAACAACACAATTTAGTAAGCTTCATTTTCTTTTTTTTAAAATAATTTTATACATAAATTTATATGATAAAAAATATGAAATAAAATTATTAAGGGGATAAAAAATAGTCTATATAACTTTTAAAATATCAATAAATTAGAATACACTAAAAATTTAATTTTATATTAATCATTATATAAATTAATTAGTTTTGTTAATATGATAATTCATAATTAGATTTCAGCATAAAATTATTTATACTCTTAATATGTTTAAATTAAATTTAAAAAATATTATAAATTTTTTTTATAGGTATAAGTAAATTTTCTTTTTACATGCAAAACATAGAAAGATTAATAGAAACTTTAATGAATAGGAAAATTTTTACTATTTTCTTGTCAAATTGAATCCACTCCTACTGTGACAGGAATTTGATGTTTTTTTATTTAAACGAATTTTGTGTATTTTTTATAAGAGGGTGAAAGAGGGAAGGAGAACTGAGTGTGAAGTGAAGAGAAAGCTGGAGATAGAGAAAACGGATGGTATAATGATGATGGTGGGAAAAAAAGTAACGTAAGTATGAGAGTAGGAAGAGGAAGAGAAAAATTGAATATGTGGTAAAAATAAAGATAAAGAGAAGAGGATGTTAAAAAAAAAAAAGAAGATGAGTTGAATATGGAAAATGATACGAAGATAGGATAGCAAAAATGTTTGAGAAATGAAATATGAAATTTGTTTAAAAAGAATTTTTTATAATTTTGCTCAAACAAAATTATTTTTATTTAAAGATACAATTTAATGTTCAATTTCTGTCCCATGATACTATTTAAAAATTCTTTTTTTTTAATAAAATTTTAAATTTCATTTTAATAATAGATATCAATATTTAATATTAATGTATTAATATTTAATGTCAAAATTTATTTGACAAATAATAAAAATGAGAATACTCATTAAATTTAAACTACACTATTTGCCACAGACGAGACAGGAAAGTAGAGGACTCGGTGGTGCGGTGTCACATGCACGCGCTTCTGCATTTCAGTTTGGGATTCATCTTCATTGCATGAATGCCTTCTGTCCTCTATGGAAGAGTTGAATCTCCTCTTTTTCTTTTTAATATATATTTTTTGAACTATACTCTTTTCGTCATATGTTATTTATCTTCCAAAAGAATGTATACTTAAAATTTAATAATCATAAAATAAAAATATTAACTTTAATTTTATGACTGAACTTAAGTATTTAATAATAGTAATTTTTTGTTTAAAAATATTTGTTTGTTATGATTTTATATCTTTAATATATTTAAATGCTTAAATATAATCTTAAAAATTAAAATTAATGAAATCGTAGAAATTATTATGATAAATTTCTATTTTTAATTATTTTTTACAAATAGTTAAACTGTAATCATATATTAATTAATATATGTTGATATATTACTAAAAAAATTTATTCAAATGATTAATATTTAAAATTATTAAATAATTTTTAAAAATTTTAAACTCTAAAATATTAAATAGTATGGGACAAAGAGAGTTTTTTTTAAATTTATATTTCATTACTTTAAATTGAATCAGATAACTTTAATTGAAACATTAAATATTTTAATACTTATTTTTCTAACATAATTTTATAAAAAAGAATAATAAGTAGTGTTCTAAAATGTTTATGGGAAGTATTCAATAATTATTATATATTTTTAATTAAGAAAATGGAAAATTATTATTTATTTTGATAATGCAATGGATATTAAACATTGTGTTATTATTCTTAATTATATTATAACGGTCGTGAATAAAGGATTTCACAGTTTGTTTGTGCTTTATTTCGACAATTAGTTTGCGATAAAAGAAAATGATTATTTCACATAATATAATATGAAATATACATATTATATTCACAAAACTTATGTTGCTACGTTACAGATAGTAAGGGTAAAAATGGAAATAAAAGAAATCATAATCATGTGAAGGTATCATTACCTTAGTTGCAATTTTTAGTGAATTAGTCTCACTTTGAGTGAAGGTTGTTAATAGAAAAAAATAAATAACTTACTTTTTATACTTTTTAAAACGTATCTTTATGATTAATTTAAAATTAAATTTTGTTCATAATTTTATGATTTTTTTAATAAATTTATTCAACGATGCGTTAAAGAGTGTCTTGTTATGCCTCCTTTAATATTTATAACTTAGTTTGAATAAATGTGTAGATAAATCTTCATAAGAAAAAAATATATATAAAAAATAAAATAATTTGAATTTATTTTACTTTATGAATAAAAAAAATTATCCAAAAACTAGACTTACATGGATGAGTCTGCCACTTGCAACGTGTAGGTAAGAAGTCAAACTAAGATGGAAAATGGAAAGGTGGACTGTGGACATGAACATGACTGAGATATTGAACAAGCAGTTGGTGACATTGACAAACCAATATCAAGTTTTTTGCATAAAAACATTCGTTTTTGTCTGGAGGAAAATATTAGCCTCACTCTCAATATGATGGTTTACTTTATATATTCATTTTTTTTTCTTTCTGCAGATTGCAGAGTCCACATAAGAAGAAAGAACGGTTCAACCCTCCGAAGTTGCTCAATATAGACAACAGTCCAAGAATAATTTCTTTCAGAATAATGCTTGATCCACATTTTTTTTGTTTTATGCTCCCTCACACTCTTCATAAATATTCAATCATAATAATAATAAAAATTTTATGGTAAGTGTAAAAAAAATTGAAGACTCATTCTTTGATGCACGGGATGGTACTCCTTCATATAGAAGTATGTGAATTTTACGCTGATTTCGTTTGAAAGTTAAATTTATTATAAATCTGATTTGCTTAAATTGTAATTAAAAATGTGACAAATAATATAATTTTAATTTTTCGCAATTATTACTGATAGATGTACCTTGCCGAGGACGACAGTGATGTCTTCTTCCTCGGACATACCGGAAAAATCCCAAAAGCAATTTTAAAGAAGGAAAGCTCTCTACGAAAAATTGCACATTAATTAAGGTTAAAGAAAAATTACTCTATGATTATTATAAAAATAACTTACTTAAGTTAGTACTTAATCAAACTGTAATCATTTTGTCAGATTTTTAATTATAAACAAGTCCATAACAAATAGTTAAAATTTTTAAAAATTTTGTTAACCTCAATCTTTAGAATCAATGATAAGTAGTTAATAATAGTAAAATTTTATTACAAAAAGATATATTTATTATATTTTAATATAATAATTATGTATTTTTTTTATAAAATTATTTGTTATTATTTAAACTCAAGTCTAAAAATTGAAGTTAATAAAATTTAATTTTTAAATATATAAAAAATAATTTAATTTGTAATCATGCGAATAGAAAGTACTTTATTAAAAGAATAATAATTTTATTTAGATAACTTATTGACAAATTTAAGAGAAGAAAAAAATATATAAAATGAATAATATTTATTTTATAAATTAATTTTTTTTTAAATTTTAGAAAAGTTAAATAAAAAAATTTAAAAAATGAAAAATATAGATTAATTTTAATTTATGAAAATTTTTAATCATTTTATATATATTTTTTCTCTTAAATAAACATCCATAAATTCACTAAAACAATCCTAATATATTCTTTACATCCTTGTGTCTCAGATTAATCATTAATTGTTAGCTCTTGTTTCACGCTTACACATAAAAGATATTCTCAATTAAATTATAAACTCAAATAATGAGAACCGTTTAAGTTTACTCAGTTAATGTAAAGTTATATATTCTTTTCAATTCAATTGTGAAACGTATTCTCGTTTTAATATTGGTAGTGACTATCCTTGCATGCCTTGCCACTTGCCATCGATGAGAGAGTTGTTGTGTCCAATTGAAGCAGGTAACTTTAGCCTTCTTGATGTAACCTCACAGTAGCTAATTAAGTTTTGTAAGGCCTTTAGAAAAGTTCACAGTGAAAAATAATTAGCTTCTGAAGCTTTTCAAGCCCCTTGATAAATGGTTGGTATTTGATAAACTTTCCTCTCCATTGTCTTATTCTTGAAAACTAGAGAGGGAGGAGTATTATTTTGCGATCTCTTATCAATTTCATTTTTCTATAACATCATATCAGCTTTGTTTCTTGTGAATGAGAGTCCAGTTAAAGGAAAATTTAGATTTTACCAAATACGAGATGCACGGGATGCGCAATGCATAGTGGCTAGAAAACTCTTGGAAAATATTATTTCTATTTATCTGTTTAGAGAAAAACTATTTTTATTTATTTTTGTGTAAAAATCCAAGATAATATTAATTATTATTTTTACACTTAATTTTTATATAAATTATTTATTTATATCATTTAGCTAATTTAAAATAAAAACAAATTAATGAGTTTAATAATTAATTCTAATAAAATGATTAAAATTTTTAGTCTGTATAATTTCTTTTCTTTTTCAACAAATAAAAAAAGTAGTAGTATACAAATAAAATGTTAGTATCGACACACTTTTGCTTTACATTCTCTATCAAGTGGATTCTATCAAATGATATGGGTCTTATCTCATACTTAATGAGTCATACATGAGTTATATCTAATGAAAAAGGTAACTGTTATTGATATTTTTCTTATTATATAAAAGATATTAAGAAAATTTTTAATACATTATTTATTATTTGTTGAATTTTATTAAGAATTACAAAATTAAGAGTTGAGCTCGTTATAAAAATCACGTGATTTTTTCGTGACAAATACTAATTGGAGTCCTGGATAAAAAAAATATTATCAATATACTCTTATCAAGAGTTTAAATAAAATCTTTTTTTGATAAAAAATATGAATAATATAAAATGATAATTTAATTAACTTTATCTCATCTCAGTCCATTTACAATTAAAAAAATTCAAACATAACATATAGCCTCATACAAAATACAAAGGCATCCAAAAACAATATCTGCACCACAACTTGTGGGGATTAAATTCAAGAATACAACGCCGTATCCATCTTCGCTTCCCTTCACTGTAAAATTTTCATACCACCCGAAGCTCTAACTCTTCCAAATTCAATTTGCTAACTTCCAATTCTAGGGTCATATCCTTCTCTAAATAGGCAGCTATTGTAAAATCCATTGAGCTCGTGTGAGGAAAAGATTTGGACATCAATATTACAAGAAAATAAGGATTCTATCTATAATATAAAAGAGAACTGCCATTCCCTCGTGAGGTTTAACAATAAAGATTTATGGGAGCTAAAGACTAACCTAATACTTTGTTTAATGATTTATCGTTTCATTATTTATTCTTTTTTCTTGTTTAGCATTTCGTTGTGAATATATGCGTTAGAGTTAAGAGCAAAATGAAATATGACTCTACAGCTAGGGGAATTTAAAAATATTTTAATAAGAATAAATTTTCCCAATAAATATTCATTATAATTCTCATTTAGTAGCAGTTGAATTTGGATATCGGTCGTCAGTCCGTGACTGACTTAAGAGTGGATTACTCGAACAATGGCCCCCGGGGGAGGGGGGGGTGGGTGGGTTTGTGCCGCAGCACCCGTGCATTTTCATTCGAGTTGAACGTTGCTCCGGCGGTGAATACCGTGGATGAAGAAGAAAAATGAGAAAATGCTATGGTCAAGTTAGAATGAGGAGTTTCATATGTAACTCTCTGTTATGCTGAAACAAGACCCACGTAGCCGCCAAGCAAAGCCAAAACAGATGATATAAGATATGCACCTAATACAATATTTGGTTCTCTGAACCCACGTAATTGGAGGTGATAATGAAATGGAGGAATTCTCAAAAGGCGCCATCCTGCTCCCTTAAAGCCCTTAGTTATCTTTAAGTACAATACCTGATATACAGAAAAGAAAGCAATAAGCTATTAAAATAAGAACATGAGAAATGACGCTAGTTTAGACCACATCTGAAATGAAAAGCGAACAACTTTAAACTATGCCCGGTATATAACTGAAGTATACAATCCTTATATTCGGATGGCATTGAACCTTAATACCTTATTAACAGTTGAGCATAGACCATAAGCGATATGAGGGGAAAAAAGCAATTTAAATTTGAACTTAGCTAAATGGTACAATACAATCAAAATAGAAAATATTGAACCTAGTAACAGCTCTCAGCACCCTAATGATTACAAATTTTTGTGTCTTCCCCTTCTCACTCTTTACCAATAACGACAGACCATAAGTAAATTTGAACTCAATGCCAGGTGATGTATTATTGATGGTGCCAATCTCACAGCAGAGTCAGTGTCACTTACACTTGAAATGTGGATGAGCATAAAGATAATTTGGAAGCAAATAACAGGAATGAATGCCTTTGAGCATACTTAACATATTTTACACATAAAAGGAAAGTTCAGACCAATGTACAGAAGCATTCATTAGGAGCATGGGACGAACCAGAATGATAGCTGATAATGACTCAACCATGAAAATTCCAGAAGAAATGAGTAGGGGGAAGAACATTCCAGTACATGCAGCCATTGCAGCTAATGCACCACCAAGTGCCAAAGATCCTATATTACCCATTAATATAGATGCTTTGTATCTGTTGTATAGAAGAAATCCAACACAAGATCCAGCCATTGAAGCTCCAAATATAGCAAGATCTGGTTTGGCATATTTACAAATCAATAACAAATATAATAAACAAAATCTACGTTAAAATTAAAATTCATTCTAAATGGCACTAAAATTGACCCTTTTAGTTCATGATACAGAAAGATAGTTGGCAAGGCAACATTGCTCAGTCCTAAAGAAAACTAAGATTTCCCCTCCAGTGACAACAGGCATGCAGTAGCACCAAAACGTGAAATATAACCAAAATATATTTAGATCCAGATTGCCATGAGAGATAATGATACAGGTACAATAGAACAGAAGGAAAAAAAGACATTTTTAATTATGACATTATTGTCATTTTAGAAAGCTAAAGATGAAGTATGGAGAACCTAGACACAAAACAATGAATAAGGATGCAGATCCTCTAGAGCTCTTTAACTGCACCATGTGCAGTTTGTAGTCTTACAGTTGATAATTTTCCAGCCAAAATTTAACATTTTGATATAAAAATATATTATTTTAAGGAACATTTTGATATAAAAATATATTATTTTAAGGGATCAGATTCATGCAGGTTAAAAAGAACTATGCAGGGAATCCTGATCTGTGAATTAAGTTCTCAAGCGGACAAACTTTATCAGGTCATATACTCTTCCTCACCGTATCAGCATGCTCAAGTGAAAGGCTGCTGCTAGGCAACAGTAAGATATCCAAAATTTTAATATTTAATCTGTGCATGCTCTTTTTTCCCCCCAATTCTTTTCATTGATTATAGATTGAACATGAAATGAATGATTAAAAAAGGAACATCTGACCTAAAGATATTTGGTTTCAAAGTCCATAGTTGACTTAAAAAAGATGCTACTAACCAGAACATATTGGAAGCACAGCTATTGACATTCCAATAAATGCCAATGCGGCAGTACCTCCAGCTAGTCCATCAAGGGCATCAACTAATTTAAGGCCATGTCCCATGGAAACAAAACAAAATGAAGTCAAGAGTTGGTAATATCGTCCCAAGTACACAAGGCCCAGTGGTAGTGGAATCAACATCTTCCTGCATATAAGAAAATGAGAGGAAGGAGGAGGCGTGAATAATTTGTTACTGGATCAATCAAACAGACATCCTGACAAATAAACATACAAAACGAGAAGTCTCACTTACAGGCATTGTCATCTACATTATACAATTTAATGGATTATATACAAAAAAATTTCTTACAAGACTTTGAATTTTTTAGTTTTACAATTTTAGAGTAGTTCTATGTCAAGCAATGGTCGACCTACGAATAAAAATGGGGGTTGGGGTGTTGTGCATCCAAAGTAAAAAAAAAATGCTTATATATGCACCGGCTTCTGAAAAATTTAAAGCAAACTAGAACCTAAAAATATTTCTAGTTCCACTCCTGATGCCATGTAACATTTTCAGCAAAACCAATGGATTAGGGGATAGTCAAACAAAAAGTAGAAAACATCAGAGTCACAAACATCAGCATGATAAAAACCTTCCTCTTTTCCCTTTTGGGTAGCAGTGTAGCACCACCAAGCACATGGGAGTATTTTATGAATTATCACACAAAAGGTGAAAAATACAAATTAGAATAAAAATACATTAACAGTTAAATAAATAGGTTAGTATTAACCAAAAAGAAAAACAAGTAGGTCAAAACATTGAACCAAAGGCAAAATACTAAAAAATGGAAACATTAAATTATATAAATTAAATAATTTGTTTTAGGTCACCCAACACTTTATCAATACATAATAAATATGCAATTTAGGTATAGTAATTAATGAGTTAACAATCTACTTATTAAATCTATATTTGATTTCAACTCTTTCCTTAATAATTTGGAAATTTTGGAAACCAAAGATAAAATATGAAATTTGAATTTTTTATGTCTGAAAATTCAGATATTACATTATTTTCACATACTGAACTGAAGTCTTAGCTCTCAAATTGTGAGTCAACAGAGTATGAAGAGAATGGAGACCAACTTGTTCCCCAAACTTGAACCATGTTTGACATTTTTCAGTTGCATGAGTAAAACCAAATGAAGGCTGTACAATTTCAAAATTCAATATCACCAAAGCACAAACATGCCAGATAGGATTAAGACCTATTGAATGTATTTTACTTAAAGCAAAAGGAAAATCTTCATATTATTTTTAAATTACTGGTTTCATTCAAGCAAAGAAGGGGCAAAAAGTTATGTCTGCAACTGCCTGTGAAATGCATTTATGAGAACAGATATGTGAGTTACCATCAGAAAAATGCTGATCAGATTAGTTACAAGAAGGTATACATGCCATAGGGTGAAGATATACTGGTGATGTCCAACCAAAATGAAAACCACGTTCCAACAGCTACCTGTGTGTTATAAAAAAATGCATATTTAATAAGAAGAAATAACATAGCTGCAAGTGTTAGTTTAGACACAAACCCTATTTTAGTCAACTTTTCATTTTCAACTTAGTCCCTCACAGATCAATTTTTGCAATCTGATGTCTCACTCATGAAAATGTGTAGGTAGATTTTGATTGCAGAAGCATAAACCTGAGGTGAATTTGTAAGAGACAAATTACAACAACAATAACAAAGCCTTGTCCCACTATGTAAGATCGGCTATGTGGATCACATAACACCATAGACTGAACCAGTGAGGGATTAGATTGTAACAAAACTGATTCACGAGGGACTAAACTAAATGAAGAGAAAAATATCAGCGAGGGACCAATATAGGATTTTTTTAGGTTCTTGAAAATCAATAAATCAATTAAGTATAATAAAACTCCAAAAACAATGCTTTTAATAAAAAACAAATAAAGCAGTCACCTCCAAAAGAACTTCTGCCAATGCAGGCAAACCTCTCCAATGATTCTTGGTGAGGCTTAATATATCACCAAGTAAACCAACTGCAGCAAATGCAATAGTTACTCCAGCTGCCCCAGACACTTCTATAGATGAGGAACCGGCAATGACATGAGCAACAGTTATACCAATAGGTATAAAAAACAAACCACCCAATGTGGGTGTCCTCTTTTTCAGGCTATGTCTAACAGGCACCCGTTGCTTGATTAAATGGATAATTTTAAAACGACGAAAAATTGGAACACAAACATAGCCAGCAAAAGAAACCAAAATGGCTGATATGAGAAATGGGCAGGTCAAGTAAAACGGTGATAAGGGAAGTCTGACAATTTTCCATGCACACCAATCCACATACAAAAGCAGTAATGTCAAGACAATTATAAGCCCCACAGTGATGAAAATGCCAAGTTTGATCCTGTAAATACATTAAAACCTGACCTGGGTTACCATAGCATCAGACATATGGAAGGATTTAAGTAATAATGACAGAAAAGGCTATCAAGCATTCAGTTACCAAGTAAACTAAATGCATTTCCAGCTCAGGCAAAAACCTCAAATGAAATCTTATGTTCATTTAGGTCCCACCTTTGATGATTATTAACCTTTGAATCTTCATCTTTGTTGTGCTTTTGTACCGCTCCGTAATTATTATTTACTAATTTTATGATTACAATAATATTGATCATGCAGAAGTAGACTATGATCACACCAAATTTCTAGAAACCAGGATATGCTATAGAATAATAGTTTCAATAATGAAATATTCAGATTGACAAATATTCAAAACAAAAACCATTAGCACAAGTTTCTACATACTTGCCTATGTTTCTTATGTCCCCTCCCAAGGGTTGCAAACCGATGAGCAGCAACTGTCAGAGAACCATTATCTGATGCAGAAACAGAAGGCAAATCAACATCATTCACCGGAGTCAAAAAAACTTCACCATCACTGTCTTCCCCGTCGCTGGAAGAGAACACGTATGCAGGAGAAGCCTCATCAGCATTCCAATCATCAAGAATCGGCATATCAAATGAATCCTGTAAAAGATAATAAATGTCATGACACCGAATCAGCATAGACAAATCACAGTCGATGGCAAGGAATTACTAACTAGAGCCATAAAGTGACTCATTAAGTTAAATTCCGGATACAATCCCTGAAAATGTATGTATGCATGTGAAAATGTAAAAATTATTACATCAGTTCCTCAAAAATCACTAGTCAAAGTATCAAGAGCACTCGTTCACCTCTAACCAAATTCTCAACGTAGTTAGCATTTATCGTTGATACGTTTCTCCAGACGATCGAAAATAACTGTCTCAAACTCAAAATTAGAAACTAAGAGATTATGGTTTCAGGACATCAAGCATCTCCAGTGAGTTTTACACAGAATCGCAAGAGTAAAGCCACGGTCAAACTAAAATAAAATAAAATAAATTTCCAGAGAAGCAAGAACGAACATCGTCGAAGGCTCTCGTAGAAACAACATCACGTCGAATGCAGCAGTTATATTGATGAATAATCAACGGACGTAACTGCAGAAAGTTGAAGAAGGCTTAAACGATAAAAAAATTACACGATTCACTAAGGATAAAGCTAATAACAGTATTAATATTAATATTGAATAAAATTGAGATCAGCGAAAGAGTACCTTTAGAGTGACGCAATCGAAGTGGGAAGGGGAAGAGTAATGGACGGCTGATGATGATCGAGGGAGAGAGAGGCGTTTGCGAGAGTGATGGAGAGGGAAAGAGAGATGGTGGTGGTGATTGAGTATGAGAGAATGAGAAGGCATGGATGCGATGCGAGAGAGAGAAAGAGAGTTGAAGGGGAAGTAGATCTGAGGAGAGAGTGAAGAGAATGGAATGAACGGCAGATGAGAATATTCCATGCCAGGGAAGGGAAAGAAGCACATTATATAAAGAGGAAGGGAAATTGTCAAATGGCTGTACTTCGAAATAATCGCGTTGCCGAAACCGTTTGCTCAGTGGCGTCATCAGATTTGCCAATCGCCACGTGGACCGTCACCAAACGTGCTTCCGATGCTAGCCAAGCATACAAGAAGTAATTCGTACAAGGAAACCGGTTGCTATACAGTCACCCACGACAGTTACCAAGGAAAGAAAGCAAGGGAAATGTAAATTATGATGCATTTTATTATTAAAAGAAAATAAAATGAAAGAGATAAAGATATTATTTCACCAAAAGGGATATAAAGATACTATTAATATCAATATATAGTAATACCAACTCTTTCTGTAAAGCTAATTGTAATTGCCATATACCAAATAATCAAAAGTGGTTCCAGAAGGGGCTGTTTTTCGCTGGAGTTGGGCTTTTCAATGTGATGTACGTTCTAGTACTGCTCTACTTTGAACAACTTTGATCAGTAGACGACGGGTCTAATACATGTTCCATCACGTAGAATATCATTTACATTTGTCCACAATTCTTTTATTCTTGGTAATTTTGCTATCGATCTGTTTAGCTGCTGATGCTGTGTGGCTGAGCTAGCTGGTAGAGGCGGGTATAACTTGCTTTTCAAGTTCTGATTTTTGGCTTTTAGAGACCTCAAGGGGCCAATTCATGATAAATTTATTTATTGACTTTGTTTAACAAGTTTGAAATTTCACACATTCATATCACCTTGTTTTCATATAGTAGATCCTCGATATGAAAGGATAACTGCTTATCCAGTGATATTTTAAATCTGAAATCCTTTTCGGGAAAAAATTTACAAATAGAACAAAAATTGACAGAAGGCATAAAAATAGGCAGTTCATTATGCAGAAAACCACGACAAATTTGATCACACATTTTTGTTCTTTGTTCAAGTGTTTGGAAGGCAATGTAACGCATGAAATCTTTAAGGTAAAAAACAAAGAGGAAGTTACAGATAAAAGAAAGAAACGCTACTACTTTATCATCGAATCTTCAAAAAATGGAAATTAAACAAACTTCTTTTATTGGTGGTTATTACAGATAAAATCTAGAAATTTGAGATTGAGTTCGGGAAGCTCATTATCCGCCACTGTCCCATTTATTGACTTGAAAAACTATGATAATATCCTCCTTTATCTCATTCTCCTGAACCATTTTCTTACTCAAAACACGTCTTAACGACAGACCCGTCCAACCCTATGTTAACTAATAAGTTTCATGTAATTCCACTCCCACTGTTTCAACGACAGCAAGACCATTATAATGTTAACCTAGAAAACACCATAACATGTTTACTTTCACATTAAACCCCTGAATCTAACTTTATGTAGTTAAAACTTTGACGTTTAAAAGTGATTTGTGGACATTCCAAACATGCAGTTCAATATCAAACACATACCTTCATCCCCATTAACAAATTTCTCCATAGGATTTTGTTACACAGATTCCTCGTAAGGTGAGGATTACCACCACAAAACAATTTCATCTTTCCCAGCCTAATAATCTGAAAATGGGCACGTGCTTGACCCCCCCCAACACCCGCTTCCAAAGATTGAGCCACAATTTAGCAGTGCAGCAAACCCTTGAACGTTGACTCAAGGGAACACGCAAAGGGACCCAAGTTAAAACTAGTACATCACTGAAACATCTGACAACATACATTTAAACACAATGCCTTATGGGTGACGTCAAATCTTGCTAATTTGAACCAGGGACGGGAGGTCGACCTCGTCCAATTGCAAAGCCACGTGTCCCATCTGGCATTTTTGGTCCAGGAGGCGGCTTTGATGCTTCGGCAGCATGAGCGGATGATGTACTTCCGTGGCCTGGAACAATGCAACAGGTTATCAAAAGAATTCAAAATCATAAAAATAAAAAAGTAATCAAATAGAACTGCTAATATATAACGATACCCATTCCATTTGCAGCACGATATTTATGTTTTCTTGGTCTTCCTTGATTTCTATACCTCTGCCCACCTTTATCCTTAGACAAATGCTCCCCATCCTGTAACAAAAGGAAAGCAGCACAGGCAAATGTAAGCAGCACCAAATTAACAATAATAATCCAACAGAAGGACAGCAGCCCTTATACAGGTCATCTACAGTTTCAAAAGAAACTGCAAGGTGAGCGCAGTTGTGAATCCCACTTTTACAATTAAGTAATTTAATTTTAAAATATTAATTTATCATGTAATAAAATAAAAAAGAATAAATGAGATCCATTCATTTCCACTAGCAACTCAAGAGGACTGGAATCTACAACCATGAGGTTAGGCATAAGAGACATCAAGACTATGGGGACTTTTACTTTTCGTAATATTGAAAATGGTACAGCACTGCTCTCCTTTGAACTGCTAAGTGCTAACAACGACTTCTAGATATTTAGCACATGCTTGGCTATGAGAAATAGTAGGATCTGTCTGGTTTGAGAAAGTGATTACTATTTTGATTTTTGTTTTTATAAATATTCACAACGCCACTTGGTATTCAGCTTATCTTAAGTGTTTCCTACACTAATATTTGAAAATAGAAAAAGTGATATGACATTTTTGTTATTTTTTGTGAAAACAGAAAATGTTTTCTCAAACCAAACAAGCTCATAATTTCCCACATAAGAAAATATAAAATAACATGTATTTATCATTCAAAGGCAAGGAACCAATACTTATGGCCAAGATAGTCAAAGTCAAGATCTTACCTAGGATCGGAAAAATTAAGGAGACACATAAATCGTGTAATCATAACACAGATTGTAAAATCCTACTTAAAATACAAAATGATTTTGAATTTATATATATGCATAAAAATTAATAAAAATAACACAAAAGAACCTTAAATTACTAAGTCACAACAATTCCAAATTCAGAACCCCCACTGGCAGCATTATCCTAGCTGCTTCCAACTCTAGCAGCACCTGAACTCCCATTACCCTCTGTAGCAGCTTCTTTCCCACTAAAAGACTTTTGTAAATAACTAATTAGATTAAAAAAGTGTAACTTAGCAGAGATCAGAAACTTGAATCCAGGGTCTCAAATAGTGTAGCAACTGAGCTAAATCAAGGAGTAGTTGAACCGACAAGAAAATGAACCAAGAGTTCAACCTACAAGCAAAAGAACTGAAGGGAATAGGGTCAAACCCAGCAGTAGAAAAACCAAGGGGTTTAGAACTTTTGTGTGCATGAGAGAAAAAAAAAAGGTGAAGAAAAGTGCCAAAATGAATGAGTTAAAGTCTTCAATCTAATGGGCCAATGAAAATTGGTTCAAATTTGTTGGTTTTTTCCAAAAGAAATGAGTTCAAGCAACATCGGAAAAATCGTTCATTCCTATTATCTTATGATTCTACCGATCCTAGGAAAACGAGTCAGAGAGTGTGATTGGGATTGCTGAGGTATGAGAAATCGTAAAATTGTACGATCTTACGTGTAAAATTGCGATTTTAACTACCATGCTTATGGCTTTGAGTTACTGACAGATATGTTATAGGAAGCTGCTAATGGTGAAAAACAAAATGCAATACACACCTCTTCCTCATGTGTATCTTCATGATGCTCATTTGAGCCATGATTATCTTCATCTCCTGTTTGTTCAGATACATGGCTTGAGCTATGCTTCTCAGAATTAGATCCTTTCCAAGCTTGTTTTTTGTGTCCATACTTCCCCTATCATAAAGTTACAATCAATGCCTTTTACAGTTTGTCAAATGAAAAAAGAAAACTGAACTAACCACTCGCTTGAGAAGCTTAACCCGCATGCCATTTCTCCAGTCTTGTTCATTATTTAACATAGTCACCTAAGCCGGCATTGAAATAAGACTCAGTTAATCATCCAGCCAATAAAAGTCCCAATCATAATATGAAACTACTTAAACCGAAACTCACAGCTTTCTCAGCAGCCTCGATAGTCTCATATTCCACAAGAGCATGTAACTATACAAATGAAATGGACAACAACGTAAGTGCATACAAAATTAAATGCAACAAAGGCACAAATGGCAGAGAAGAATATAGCATATAGAAGTTAACACTGAAAAGCTGATATCTTCTCATGGATAGCATACAAAAGATAGTTATCTTATATCTAAAAACCATTTTAAATGAAGTCTGGAAAAGCTGAAAAATTAGCCCAAGAAGAATAGCTCTAAAATGCAACCACACAAATTGAAACTTTGATCAGTCTGCACGCCTGCCCATGTGACAGCAGGGTTGATGTTATTGGGGAAAGTATAAAAAGAATAATTTTATAAAACTAAATCAAGGAGGATGGTGAATGACACTCTGTAAATAAAACCCAAGCAGCAGCACAATTTGTTTGCCACATTCAATCAAGCACCAAAACTGTTATCCAACTGAACCAGGGAAAAGTAAATACATGAATAAGCTGTAAGAAACAACCCTTGGCTATTATTGAGAAGTATTATATACAAAGTGGACATTTACTTATTTTCAGAAAAAAAGAATCATGCCACAGGAAGTTTCCAAAGTAATCACCAAAGTGACTCTGAACTCTGAAGATGACACAGTAATGGAGTTAATTATCATGTTCATGAGCAACAAGGAAAAGGGATTTTCTTTTCTCGTGTTTTTTAAAGGAGAAGGTTGGGCTTGACAGATGCAATTGTTGCAGACTAATATGCATCATCCGAGAATACAGTTTTTTACTTGGTACCCTAGCTGGACCTAAATATCAATGAAACCAATAAAGCATGTAATCATTTCCATACTACAAAACAAGAGTTTTTAGAAGAGAAAAAAATATAAAATGCAGTCACATTATAATTTATTCCTGAGACAGTCAAAACCTCTAAATTGAAGTTAGTAAAAGCAACAATGAAATGGTGAATGTAAGAACACTATATTTAAGGTTAGCTGTTAACATAATATGGTTCTGTACCTTGCTACTAATTAACATTTCTTGCTTTATATGTTTCACAGACTCTGCAGTAGAACGTGGGTTGTTAATGGTTATCCTCTTTATACTGCATATTATAAGACATTTTAACACCATTACGGATCTGGAAGCATGAATATACCATCTTTGATGAGACTTTAAACACAAGCATAAAGTTAAGGAAGAAATCATACTTTCCAGCTTCATGAAATATTTGTTGGATGTTCTCCTTTGAATGGTCCTCCGGCAAATTCTCTACCAAAACAGTGTATAACTAGAGTCCAAGAATAAGATACAGGATAACAAAGAACAAAGCAAAAAAAGCAGCATCCTCCTTGAATTAAGTACCTTGTGATCTCTATTTTCATTAAAACGAAATGGATTGAGTCGCTTGACCCTTTTCCCATCACCACTAACAACCTGCAGTCCCCATTAGAGAATTATTTTTCCTTTGGAATTTAAGAGTAGATTGCAATGTAGTTCATGTTGACAAAACAAGGAAGAATCGTACAAGTAGTGAAGACTCCTTCAGAGCAGTAACAATAAATGAATGGTCTCGTGTGAGCTTCTTCATTTTTCTAAAAGAAGCAATTACTGATATAGGAACTGCATAAACAGTGTAAGTAGGAATTACATGATTGGATACATTAGCATGAGGCCATGGACAAATAATAATTGATAATTATACAAAATAGTATGGAACTAGGATTATCTGAGTTATAGCAATAAAAAAGAGCAAATACAGCAATCGATGCTTCATTATTTATCTGAAAGGATTATAATTGAAGACGTATAATGCATGCAGAACTGCAGGGGTATGCGCACTACTTTGTTAAATGATTTGTAGATTAAATAATAACAATTCTCATTTGACCAAATTTAAGAAAGGTTTTTGTATAACTTAGTAATGAATTAAAGATTCTTTTAGGAAAAGTACTAATAATTAGTATTACTTTATTATAAGGCAGTGCTACAATCGGTGCTCCTTTCAATTTAAATCACTAATCAGTAATCACCTTTTCTTTAGTGAACTTTAATAGATCACACTTTAAAAAACATTTGGAAATAAAGAAACATAAAAAAAAAGCCCACAAGTATGCCTTTTTTCTTCCTATAATTTACAGAAATGAGGAAATATGACCATCCGTGAACCTCCAGTACTATAATTGAAGAACTCTAAGTGTAAAACAAAAGTAATTTAAGTGTACATATGTAATGAGTCAACAAAAATGAAAGTTTAAACAACCATCACTCTGCCAATTCAACTAAGTTATCCTTCATGAATTCATGAATATTTGAGAAAATTCCAAAGCAAGACACTTCAGAAAGAAGATCCAATGCTTAACTTCCCTTAGGAACACCTACACAACGTATATTATACATAGCCCATATTATTCCACATTTTATACTAACATATTCAGCTTTGCAACAAATTAAAATTTTTAACCATCGAGAAAAATCCAAAATGGATATGTGTATTATATTATATATTCCAGAAACAACTAACATCACAATACACAATACTTGCGAACAAGTCAGTAAATAAATAAATTATAGATCAATATTTGAAAATGCATAAGCTAAAATCAGGTTAAACCACGATACTTAGAAGACTTTTCCCTTACCAAACCCTTCCTTGTTCCTCTTGATAAAACCAAACAGATACTTATCAGTTGGCAGATTTTCATCGCTGAAATAATACTCAACCTGCAAAATCAATACAAACAATCCACTAAGCTATATCAAGAAAATCAGCCAATAACTTAGAGCAAAGCTAAATATAAGAATAAAATACATCCAAACAGAAAAACCTAGTAAATGCGAAAACACGATTCTAGGTTTTCAATTTAATCTATCAAATTAAAAAAGCAGCAAACAATACAGCAACAATTTTCACTCTATATTTCTTATCTTTCCCTTGTTCATCCCTTCGGTCGCCTCAACGTTACAAGTGAGTATCACCGAACGCCAAATAAACAGAAACAACCAAATAGGTTGAGAATAGTTGAAAGCGAGGACAGGGATTCCACCTGCTTTATGATCTTGAGCTTAAGATCATCCAAGGAGACACCGGCAACGGCGGCGTGATCGCGGTCGTGGTCCTCGTCATGGTGGTCATGCTCACGCTCATGCTCGTGATCCTGATCGTGTTCGTGTTCATGCTCAAGCTCATGCTCGTGATCGTGGTCTTCGTCTGAAATCAGAGGGTGAATTTCAGGTTCCGCAACATCGTCAGAGCCAACCGCGAGATCGGGAGAATCGAGCGGAGGAGGCGAGCCGGTGGTATCGCTGGCGGCGGTGGCAGAAAGGGGAACCGATTCGCCGCCTTCCATTGAGGAGTGAGGAGACTCTCCTCCGCGTTTTGTATTCGGTTCTTTCTGTCTCCACAGGGTTCCGATTTCTCAGATCGGATCCTTTTATACACGCTACGCAAGTTACGATACTACATTTCTTCGCTTCGGTCACCACCACCGAGTTCAAATCAGCGGGTTTTTCATTTCTTGTATTTTTTTTTTCACTCTTTTCTAAAAATATAATATATGTATTTTTTTTCTACTCCTATAATTCAAATGATTTTTTATACTTTCTTTAAATTAATGACTATAATTCTTTTAATATTTTAAAATGAACATTTTTAATTAAAATATTAGTTTTAATTTTATTATCTATTAATATAAAATTAATAGTTACAATTATTTTATATGTAAAAAGAATATCATATTCTCTCCATTATAAGAGGTAAAGAAGATCTTAACCTTTTTTTTCATTTCACCTCACATGAAATTGTGCATAATATATTTATTAATAAATTAAATTTGTAAGCTGTAACTGTTTCAAGAAAGTTCTGCATTATGGTTGAGTTTTATTCTTTCATTCAAGAAAATCCATACTCACGTGAGTGCATAAAAGAAGATATTATTTCGAAAAAAATAGATTAAAAACAAAAATATGTTGGGGAAAATTAAGAAAACGACTTTGAAATTACAGAAAGATTTAGCAAATGGAATAATGAATATGATATGATAAATTAAGAAAACAGATATAATATATTAGTAAATCAGAAATGTTTTAGGTTCAAACATTATCTAAATTTTGAAAAAAAAAATCATTTTAATAAAAAAATTAATATTTTTAGTAAACTAGTAACAATGCACACAAAGACCATAAAGCCTTTTGTTGTTGAAAGAATAAATAAAAAGAAAAAAAAAGTGAAAATTAAAATTTTTACTTGCTTGAATTTTCTTTTTCTTTATTTGAGGAAAAAGTTAGAGGAAAAATAAATAAATACATATACATATATATATATATATTATTAGACGGTAAACTCATTAAGATACATCTAAGTTTGTCATTTTACCTATATATATAGGTAAAATGACAAACTTAGATGTATCTTAATGAGTTTACCGTCTAATAATTAGACAGTTTTAACCATGGGTCCCATGCAATTATCTCTTTCTCCCTTATTTGTCGACAAACCAAGCGAGGGAAAAGGGCATCTTAAAATCTTCTTATCAAAATCTTTCTTGTTAAAATTCCTGCCTGGTGACTCCAAGCAAAAAAATTGGAATAACTTGTAAAAGCAATATCATAATCTTATCGCGAAAGATACTAGTAAATTTGTACAACTGATTTTGTGCAGCACCTTAATGCGAAAGCAATATTCAATCAACTTCTCACTGTAGCGAATCAATTCCACAAATGAGAATTCGAGATGTACATTAAAACCACATTCTTTGCATCAACCCTCGTACCTAGGGACAATTCCATTAGAAGTGTGATTCGATCGTCGAGTAGAATCGTGAAAGTGGGTAAACTTTGCGTATCAGAAATGCACGGGAATGACAGCCAAGACTTTCTCATTTCTCATAGCATAAACTATAAACTTAAGGCGAGTTCAAATACAACGTTGTTGACTTGGGGAATGTGACTTTACCTACAACCCAAATCCAAAATAACCTATTACGCAATTTAACAATAAATAAAGCAAGAGCAAATGAAACCCTTTAAATGAGAACCCAAACTAAACCCAAAAATCCAAGGCCAAGCCTTAATAAGCCCAACCCACGAAGCCCATTGGAGCCAGAAAACCAAACTCTGACATCATCCACGACAGGCCCACAAAGAGAACTCATATCATCACTTCTTGTATTATAGTAGACACTATAGAAGGCAATTCTAGTCCTCTCAGCCTTGGCAGTGAAATTGAGGTTAGCAGTTTGGAAGGTAGAGTTAGAATCAGGAGTGTAATGAACGTTTTGAGCCTGGTCACCAGCAAAGGCCATAACAGCAAGAGGTTCCTTGCATTTGTCATTAGCATGACCCAGTGAAAAGGTCAAGCTGTAAAGCTTGTCAGGTGCGGTCTCAACCATTTGGGATATGATCCCTTCTTTTCCCGAGAGCAACTCAATGGCCCTTCTCCCTTGTGGCACAGCATAATGATCAGAATCAATGTAACGAATGGCTCGGTTCGATTCAACTATCCAACCAGGCAATGAAGAAGTTTCTTCGTCCAAATTCGTGGGAAGCAACACACCCAATGAAGTATTCCTAAACATCCATGGTCCTTCTTCAAAATCACCATTTATTACAGCATTGTCTGCACGTCAAATGTAAATAATAAACTCACTTAATTAATTAAAATTCACTCTAGATATAGCTTTTAAAATTGAATAAAAAAAGTTTACCCACCTTTGGGCTTATCAGGAGTGAAGAGTTTCTTGATGGCAATGTTGTCAATAATGGGGCCACAAGTGGGGTCATCTTCCATGCCTGGATTCTTAAATACCAACCTAAAAGTGTCGTCATCGGCATTGAAAGAAACCGCGTAAGGGTTCCAGCCTTGGACGTTGTAGAGGGTCTGCAGGTCTATCGTCTGTGATGCAGGTGGAACCGACACGTTGAGGGACTCCAACTGGGCGCACGTGCGAGCCGCACAAAACGTGACAGAGTAAATGGAACCTTTCTCAACCGCTACTTCCTGGCTTATCTCAGCATCGTTACCGAGCCTCACTGCGTGTCTACCCTGCGGTACGATGAGGATCATCCCACCTTGTTTTTGCCCAGACTCCACCAGTTCAACGTTGCCGTTTGATTTCCAGTTCGGGATTTCGTTGGGTCCCTCTACTATCGCCTCATTAGGAAACCCATTTGATGGGGTTGCTTCAAAATCTCCATTCGCCACTAACCCTGTAACACATTTTATAGTAACCATTTTTAGTATGAAATAACTATTGTGTCCAGCAAATAAATCAAATCAACCACCTTTCACCCAAAAATCAAGATCATCCACCAAAGGGATATTCTAAATTCACATCTTTTTGTACAATTAATCAAGATCCAGTACAAAACGGATTGCAAGGAAATATGTTGGAGGCCATGAAACCTTCCATTCGTCTCATTAAATGTCATAAAGAGGCATGTCGCGTTTGATTCACCGCATTGCCATGCTGCTATCAATAATTCTAGAGTGAGGGAAAAACACTTCAGTTACAGAAGTCGTCAACTTGATATCTTATATTACGAAACGTTAAATTGAAAAATGATTTTTTTATTTAACATTTAAATTCTTTCAATAAATGATATCAAACTAGTTTTCGCATGTCAGTGGCTATGATAATTTATGAAGAGCAGTTATGGAAGTTATAATTATTGATTATAGACTCATTCCCTCCTTTTTATTTTATTTTAATAAAAGAGACGGGAGATCACCCCGTTCAAACTTTCGACCAAGTTAAATGCTTTGATATTAAGGTCACTTAAAACTTACCCGTGAAAATGAAATTATTAGTGATGAGATTGTCTCTAAGCTTTATAACAAAAATACTCTAATTCTTAGTCCTTGAGAACAACTAAACTATTCCTATCACCCACTATTCAGTTCTTTAGTCGTCTTTTAATTTCCAAAATGAGAAACTATCATATACTAAAGATGAACATGGTCGAAAAGTTAAAGAGAAATGTTAAAAAGTCAATATGCAATGATTTGGTACGTATATCTTTTTAATCATTGATCCTTTGATGCGATATTTTCTTACCATTTTGAATTTGTACAACTTATTGAATATAGTTTATAAAAAAAAATGTCCCTTCAAGTTCAACTTATCGAACATGGTTAGGTACTTCAATCTTTGGTAAAATTATTAAATTTTAAATCGGTTGGGCATTGGTACAATCCCTTCCCTTAAGCTAACAGCTGAAGCTTAGTTAAGCCAAGACAATTCTTAATTCTAACAGAAATAACAATAAAAAAAGGAAAGTTTGCATTTTCAAAAGTTTAAAACATGGGACCCAAACAAAATTCACCAAGATTAAATTTAAATCTCGAATAATCCTTCAGCACACAATCTCCGCTTTTCTTTCTAAATTTATTTTTAAAAGTTTTTTGTGTCTAGAGACATTATAAAAAAAACAAGTTGACGAAAATTTAATATTTTTTAATAAAAATTTATTATGTATAAATTCTTGTAAGTCCTTAAAACACACGAAAAGAACCTTATTAAAGTCTAAAGATTCAACCCCCCCCCCCCTTCCTGTACATGGTCAGTGTCTAAGTAAGTTAGTCAGGTGATCAAGTCCTAGTACACTTTAACTTTCTAAAACATCTTGGCATAGTTGACAAAAAGAACGTACACATTTTATTTATTCAAGTTAGTAAGTAGTGCATGTTAATTACGTTTAGACTGCAACAGAGGTGACAAAGTGAAAATTATATAAACCAACATCCAAAATAATTACTCAATAGCAACTAGTGTTTCAAGCAAGCGAAGCATAAAGTATAGCATGAATATAATTTATTTTAAGAAGATGCTGATTGTAACGAGTGTGGGGCCACATTTGCTCTATAAGGTATTTTCAACAAGTAAGAGGGCCAGCAGAATCATTGTCAAGGAGCTGTCCACAAGCAAATGTTCCAACCAAGTATCATGGTAATCTACACTCATGTTGAACTAAAATGTACCAAATATCTGCGTTGTTTTATAGTGATTACATCTTACCCGCACCATTCTTTCCTATTAAAATCTGGTCCCATCTACACATTAATGCCTTTCACAACAATAACACCAACACATCTAGAAAAGAACAATAGACTCGTAGTATATTTTAGATTACCTTATCCGAGATGGGCCTCAAGAATGTGAAAGCCCACGTTGGAACAATAAATTAAGGAACAAACTTTCAAAAGAGTCTCAATAAGTGCCAACTCGCGAAGCCGCTTAGAAGCGCACGATGGCACAAGTGGTAAGAAAAGGGAGGGATCAAAATAAGCGACGAATCAAAAACACCCTATCAAATGTACATGACAACTAGCCTAGGCACGAAGGATGAAGAATTGAAGGTAGCAAAAACGACAAAACATGATGTTGACGGGGAACAAATTGAGGTCTGGTCCAGTAGCTTATACCAGAAACCGCAGGGAGCGCGTGGGTCCTAACGCATGCTACCACTCCGCTCCCAATCCTTACAATTTGACTGAAACGAAAAAAAGCACTTTTTTCTTACTGGGCTTTCTATTATTTAACAGAGCAGGTTTGGGCATGGGAAGCGATGAGGATAGTAACCTAAAGGACAATAATAGTAAAAAGTAATAGGGGTTCTTGCGTCCTTTACGGAAAGGTCCTTGCACTTTGGTCAAGATTGGAGGGAAAAAAGCGTGTATCGGTTGGCGGGAACACTGTTAATTCGGTCATTTAGCATCCCTAGGATAACAAGAATCACAAAGGTCTTTTGCTTGGGACCCATACGCTTACTTGCTTTCTATTCTTTTGTGTATCTCTAGGCTAGTTATGGTTTTTTTCTCCTGCTGTAGTCATTCTATAAGAAAATACTACCTATTTTGATCTACATTTTTTAAGGTACTTCTTTTTTAATTTACATTGCCGGTTATTCCGTCTAATATGCCACAAGCCATTCATAATTGCAGGATGGCGATGTTTTGCGGTGCATTTTATATATCTAAATATCATATTATTATACAGTCTTGTCCCCCCCACCCCACCAACGAAAAAAAGTCATACACAATCAAGCCTTGTGATTTGTTCGTATACAGTCAATTCTAGTAATTTAAGAAGCTTAATTACATTTCTATTTCAGTTCATTACTGTGTTCATCAAACTCGTATAGCCAATTTAATGCACTTTCTTCCTGTACAACTATATAAATTTGACTTCAACTAATTTAAAGAACTGTGCAAAAACAAGTTAGAAACACTTTTTAATCGCCCTATTTCAAGCACACTTTTCTTTATTATTATAGATTAAAATTCATTAAAAAAACAAAAAAATAACTTGAGTCTTATTTATAATTTAGTATTCCTCACTCGTGCTTTTACAGATTTAAATAAATTTCGAAGATTAAAAATAGTGTATTAAAAAAATATATTCTTAATGCTCTTCATAATATTATATTTTGAATGCCTAAAATTAAAGAGTAGCAACTAAAAAAATAGCTAACATAAAAGATTAAAGTATTTTATTAAAGTTACCAGTTTATATTTTAAAATTATTTTTTCAACTATGTGTGCTTTACGCATTATATAGATTGTAACTTAGAACTAAATGATGCATTACCTTTCAAATCAATTACAGCTAGAGCTAACTTTGGTACAATTTAACTTCATTATTGATCCCATGGACTACAAGGAAAAAAAGGGAATAGGGGGGTGTCATAAAATTCAAAGCTCCCTTCACTGAATAAAAAATGAGATTAAAATAACGAATTGGTGGAGAACGAAATAACACCATGGATTGGTTAGAAAAGTGAGGAGGATCACAGAGAAAAATGCTTATAACAAAGAGGAGAGTGTTGAAAATCATGACTAGAGTTTTAGTTCCCTTCATTCAGAAGTATAACTATATAAAGTTAACAAAGACAAACAGTTTAACTATTAACTATATCAAGTTATTTAAGTTGCAAACAAGTTAAACAGAACAATTAAAACAGGAATTAACTGTTTCTAATTGTGAACTCAGTAGATAACACTCTTCTTTCTATAATTGGCATATCCTTATGCTCAGGCCCAAATCTTAAAAATAGTAGCAAAATCACCGGTAAAAGCAGCACCCAGAATTAGCCCCACCCGCACCCAGATAGCTATTTCAATCAGAGGCACCAATTACTAGCATTTCATCACCGCAACATAGTACTAGACCACACAGTGAGAAGGTAACTAAAATCCGATCAAAATCATAGAATGGTACCCAAATTGAAGCATGTAAACCAAGTAACAAATGCAAAACCAGCACTAGTAGTATCAGATCTCCGCACATAAAAAAGAGAAAACTTGAAAACAGTATCCAAACCCTATGTATTGTAAAAGAAAGGTAGAAAGAGTGGAGATTGAAGAAGAGGAACATTACCATCTTCTGCGAAGGTTGTGAGGCTCAAATGGGGTAGGATTAGAAGCATGAAAGTGGTGACCCATTTCATTATTGTGGAGCTCCGAGCCATCTGCACGCCCAGAAATATTCTCTCTCTCACTCTCTATGTGCTTATCTGATACGTGTAGTTGTACTCTGTTTTTGAGGAGCACAAAGGCAAAGAGAGTGGTGGAGTGAGTGTCCTTTTATCGGAGATTCTGAGCAGTACTATGGTCTTTTCCTGTTTAACTTAGGTTAAAACTACTTTATTAAAATAAAGTTTGGTTTAATAATTCTAGATATTTGACAAAAGTTGTTTCCCATCAGAAGTGTGGACACATATTTTCTTTTAATTATTATAGGAAAGAGTGTTATTCCACATTATTTAATTTTGTACCAAAAATAATTTATTTGATGTACACTGTACTGACCCTTTTTTACGGGTTCTGAGACCCCGGTCTCCCGGCGGGCCCTCACCCACCGCCGTATTACGGCACTCCACAGTGTTCATATCATAAAAAAAGCAGGTTCATAACATATATGAAAAAATAATAAATTATAATTTTTATTAAAATTATAACTTTTCATATTATTAATATATTTATTTTATGATTTTTAAAACAAATTATTGTATATACATTTTTAATATACATCCTGAAACACATGTTTAAAAATAGTATAAAAAATCATCACTCTTATTTCTTAATTTACCCCATATGTTTTGTGAGAGGATAAATATAATTTTTAAAGGTTTCTTCAAAGAGAAAATAAGAGATTTAGTTGCTAATAAGATATTTTTTTATATTATCAAATATAATTGAGATAATTATAATTTTTCATTCAAATGTATTTTTAAAAATAAGAAATTTTTTTTAAGTGTATATTAAATGGGCACAAACGCATAATAATCATGTTTAAAACTTTTAGAATTTTAAAGTGCATTTATATTTGAGGTCTAATTTAATAGGATTTGTTAATATCCATTTTTTTAAGTTAAAATGCTAATAAAAGTTTCATATTCAAATGATTCTAATATCTTAAAATAAATGTGTTGACAATATAATATAATATGTATGTTTGTTAGATTTAGCTAAGTTTATAGAGAAACTAACTAAAGTAAGATCATCTAGCTAAATTATGATTTGGGGTGCTACAGATTTTCCTTATCATTTGTATGGATTCTATAGGTATTTGATCCCTCTAGATTGAGATACTGACTATTTTATTTTTTTTGCGCTATTTAGCCTCCTTATTCAATAAAAATTAAAATAAAATGTGTTGACAATATAATATAATCTATATTGGTACAACTGTCAATTTATCAATACTTTTATGTTTTCACTGAATCAATTATTTAATTTTCTTTTTTCATCCTATATATTATAAACAGCAAAGTAAAATAAAAAACAATAATAATAAATTAAATGTTCGTTAATAATCATTTAAGATTATTATGTATATGTGAATATAAAGTAACTAGATAATATATAAATGTAATGTTTGAAAATAGGGTTAGGGTTGATTGCTTTTATGACAAAAAATTTCGAATATAATTGAAGTGAATGTGTGCATAATGTAAGAATTGAATTTTAGTGTAAGCATCAAGCATTGATAACTATAATATATATACATATATAAAGTTTTGTTAATTTTAATTTTTAGGATTGAATTTAAACATCTATAAATAAAAAATTTGTATAAAAAAAATACATAATTATTATATTAAAGTTAATAAAAATATAAAATATTTTTTAATAAATTATTATTATTATTAATTACTTATTTTTAACCCTATATATATATATATATAATATTAAAATTTGGAGGGTTTGGCAATATACGCCTTACGCGATCGCCTCACTTGCAAAGACCCACACTGACTCGGCATTATTATTTGTCTCTTTTCTCATTTTCTTTTGTAAAGTATTTTCTTATGCATAAGAAAGTAAAAGAGATTTAAATTTAAAATGTTATATTTTACTATGATAAAATTTAGGAGAATGTTAACTAATATTCAAAAATGAAAATCTTTTATTTGAATGGACAAAATTATATTATTATCATGCCTTATGTGTAAGTTAATTTAAATATAATTTTTTAAATAATATCTTTTTGTGTGTGTATATGTAATATTTTTACCATGTTTGATAAGTTCATGAGTCCCAACATTAATGTGATACTACAGTCTTTTAATAGTTAGTTTGGAGGAGTTTATAATAAGTTTATATGACTTTTTATAAATCATTTTAATAAACTTAATTGATAAAATTTATCAATATTTTTAACTTATCTCAATAAATTTTATTACTAAATTCATGACATAAATAATGAAATTTATTAAATAAGTTATATATTCAAATCACTCCAAAATTGATTTTTAAAACATTTTATGTAATTATTATATTTAAAAAAAACTAAAGCATAATTTTAAAAAGCAACTAATTTTTAAAATAAATCTTTCACAGGGGCAAGCAGATAGATTATTTAGCTATAAGAAAGAATTCAAAACCCAAATTTAATACCATTTTTTTGATATGCAAAACTTGAACAAAATTGTGTATGTCTTGTGATTTATACAGTAGCTGTGCACTAATCCATGCGTATGGCGCACACAAACGATTGAATGCATCTCCTAGCTCAAGTTGGAAAAGGGAAAGCGTGTATCATTTTCCATGGTGTTTTGTTTCAGTATTGTTGTCGTCAAGCTTCAACCGAGCTAAGGTTGTTTGCGTGCAGTGCCTCTTATTTTTAACTTAAAGTTGACATGTCCCTTGAGCTCTTAACATTTGTTTTTTGGAGCCTCTTTGATTTTGATTACTAATCAAATTGACAATCATTTGGCATTATTGGTGAGTTTGGTTCACGAATTTATTATGTTACTATTCTTCCATATTTCTTCTTTACATGTTAGGCCGGCTCATGGATGAAGTAAAAGAGTTCTTTTCTTGAATCTTCTAAAAAATTGACAAAAAAAACTTCTTATTTATTAATAATTATTATGTGCAAAAAATAAAATTATTAATCAATATATTAACAATGTTAAGAATTTTTTTTTTCATAAAAAACCTATTGCCTTATTATGACATGTCTCTTTCCTAAATTAGTTAGTATTTAATTTATCTTATTAATTAAAATTTATTATTATATTAACCTTAATTAATAAAATATCTTGTATTAATTAATTATAAATATTATAATAGACTAATCTAACTAAAATATGATTATAATAAATACTAAATACCTATTACACATATATTACCTATAAAACAATGTCAACAATTTTTTTTTATTAATTTAACATAAATAAGATTTTAAAAATTAAAAAAATTCTTTTAAAAATTAATAAATAAATTTTCATCTTAAAATATAAAAAAACCATAAGAAAAATACATTATAAAATTATTTTTATTAAATTAAAAAATCTTATCTTATAACTTACTTTAAGCTTAAAGGTAGCTTAGGCGACCTGTTTTCGAGTTACCGAAACATTTGTAAATTTTTTAGAGAAACCAAACTTTTTTATGTGTCTTTTATTACATCTTTGTCCTAATCACTGCTCTTGAAAAAGAAGAAGGAAAAAAGAAAAAAGAAAACTTTCCCCCCTTTATTCATTTACATATAATTATTGCGGCTACTACCTGTAAATTGTGGTCCCTTAAAGATTGTTTTCCACCTTCACCAATCACCACCCCATGGTTAAGTTCCAGCTCCTTAAAGCCTGTAGATTGCAGCCTTCGTTATTTGTTTTCTTAGTGGTGCATTGGAGATAAGTTTCAAGTGCTTGGGATTTGCGAGTAGCAAAGAACAAAGGATGAACAATCTTGTGACTAGAGAACCATTGGTGAGACAAAGGGCAAGGGGTCGTACGCATATTGTAATGCATACTTTGAGTACTGATACGTGATTATAGATTAAGAAAAATGCTAACATGAGGATTAAGAATTACTTCTACACAACTAAATTTGATAAATAAATACTTTTCTAAATAAAATGTTTTCATTAACTAGTCCTTGACATGGGCTACGGAAATAAAAATAGTTTTTAATTAATTTTTTTATTGGGATGCATTGAAGATTATGGGAGAGATACATTAATAATAAAAAATAATCAAATTACTGCTAGTCATATCGAATCAAGTGGTCACTACAGATTTGATGCACACTTTTTGACCATTGATTTTAGCACTATTTAAAAAATATTATAAGAGACTAACATATTTAGTTTATTTTTAAATACAGTGATGTGATTAGAGAAAAAGTAGTAAAAATAAAAAACTACAGTGCTTTTTTTTGGCTCAAAGGTTCGATAGATTATGTTTTTGGTAGACTGACACATAAGTTAAAGGTGTAGTCTTTGATAGTCTTGTTTGGGCCTCAATGATAATAAGCGAAGCCTGTCAAAATGGATCCACCTTGAAATATATATTTTTTGTTGGCTTAACTGAAAAATAGAAATGTTGACCAAAACTAGAAAATAGAAAATGGATCATTTTAGTAGAAGTTAGCTAGTCTGAGCAGCCTAGATTTATGCAATAGTTGTCCCATGGTTGGGGAAGGGAGGACCAAAAACTAAATAAACTTTAATAAGTAAAACTTTATTTCAAGACAAAAAATTATTTTAATTCTTGGATTCTATATTTCTGTTGGCTTACTCTCAAATTTTACAAACATTTCATTTTATCCACTAAAATAATTTTTATTTTAATTCTTTATACTTTATAAAATTAAAGTAAAAAAATTATATATAAAAAAGAACTAAAGCAACTAACACTTACCATTTAAAAGGTTTTTTTGGGGCATAAAATAGGTAATTTAAGATAAATCTTAAAAACATTTTCTCTATTGCTAGTAAATTTAAAATCATGTTAAAATAATAACATATAAAAGAAAATATAATAATTAAATATAGGTTGAATAAATTACAATTAAATATGCCTTATATGAGATTCTTAGGGTGATTTTCTAGTTGGATTTTGTTTAAAACATGGCATATTGCCTCCATTTAAAGGATAATTTTAAAAAAAAAATTTATAGGCAAAACATATATTTTTAGAGAGAGTTCAAAGAAAACTCAAAACCTATATACATAGAAAAAAAATAATACTTACTCAAAAAAATAAAAAATATAAACATATTTATTCAAAATTAAGACAAATGTAATTTTGTAAATTCAAATACCAATTAGTTAACAAAATAGTTTCTTCTTTATTAATAAGTGATAGTCATTTACAGAACCTTAGAATAATCAAATTTAGGACTTCCCTCTCATTCAAAATACTATTGAAAAATACTATTTTATTTCTATATAACCATAAAGATCACACTGTACTTATCCAAATAATTAATAAACATATCTCTTATCTTTTTACTACAACCAATATCAACCTAAGAAAGTAAGTGAGTCGATAAATTTAAAGAAAAAACTAGTGAGAATTCAAGCCAATGCGCAGTAAAGTATCATATTTGAGATGAAATTGAACACATTAAAAATAAATGAGTTGAAAGTTCTTTCGAATTATAATAGAAGCAACAAGTTATATCATCAATTTGAACACTACGATCAATTAGCAAACCTTTATAAAGAAGTGTATTCAATAATTGTCAAGAAAATAGTAGGCACTTAAGAGAGACCTTCCCTCTCAATAGCCTTTGCAAAGCATCCGCCGTATATTAATTTACAATATTATAACCATATACGCAAATTACATAATTTTGAAATCTTTTACTTGGGTTATGTCTTGTTAGAGACGTGAAAGAAAATAAGGTGATGATAAATTTATAGATAACAATTCAGCTTGTAAGTTCAGATTTTGATAGTCTCGTTACACTAATTATAGATGAGGAAAATTAGGAAAATCCTATTTAATAATTTTTTTTAACATTTCTTTATTTATCGAGTAAATTTTATTAAGAAATATAAAAATATAAAAATGAAAATTATATAATTTTATATTATTGATAAATTTTAACAAATAATTAAGAATATATTATTAATATTTTTTATTATGAATATTAAAAATATAATATAAATGGAAAATCTTATTAATATATCAATATTTTCATAGAATCTAACTAGTGAGCGAATACATTGAATCCATTGACATAATTCATATTTAAAAATATGTTTTGAGGTAAAAATATGCTTCACTGCATTTTTATCCACTTACTACTTGATTCCAATTAGACTGTCTCAACATTATAATAATTTTTTTATAACATTATCACTATTTTATTTTTCAAAAATCTTATAGACTAGAGAAATAAGAAGAAAAAAAAGAAAAAAGTGAGGCTGAAAGAAGAAACACAAATATGAGAAAGAATATAAAAAGTATAAGAAAAAGAAAAAAAATTAATGTCCTTAAAAAAACATTTTAAACTTTTTAAAAATATAGAAAAAAAAAGAAACTTTCAAATTGAACTCATTGTGAAGTAAAAAAGCAAGGGAAAAGAAATAAAATAAATAAGATCGTAGTGAAATTCAACTCGACGAACTTTTTTTATAATCTACGAATGCTTGAAAAAGAAAAAACTTTTCATGACCAGAGTCAATCCAAGATAATCTTCTCCATCAAACATTTAAAATATCAAATTATTATTAATTTGACAGCGTCCTTCAATTTAAATTTATAGATTCAAATTCTAAATTTTGGATAAATTATGATTCATTACATTTAATAATAATATAATAAAATATAAGTTGCATGATATATGATAAATTTCATAGAACATTCAGAAAGAGAATTTATTAAAAGAAGTCATTGAACCCAAGAATTAAGAGTAAAAACTGAAATTTAATGAATAAAGATTAATAACTAAATTAATTAAAATATAAAATTATATATTTTAATTAAGTTGAGGCTCCGTTTTGCCTCCCTTTGTATTCGTCTCTACCTGTCTTGTAGATTGTGTTTGTGTTATGAAGAGTAAAACAATAAGATATAATTCTGAGAATAAATCTGTCTAAAAAAAAGTATTGTAATTTTATAAGGATATATTTATATAAAAATGAGTGAGTGGTTAATTTCATAAGTATAAATGTTTATATGCATATAAGTATGCTTTAAATTAGATTGAGTTAATTTTTAAAATTAAACTTTAAACCTAATATAATTCAATAAAAATTTGTTGTTTAGCTTTTCAATTTGAATTTTATAATATGCATTAAACTGAATCGTTGAACACCAATGTAAATAATTAAATCTACAGGGAAAAATAATTAAATTGCATTTCAGGCGCTAGTGTGATCCCTAGGCTCTTCAATTATCAATATTCGGTGTACCAAGAAATCACAGACTTGAGCTTAAGTTGCTCATGTTTGGTGACTAGTTTTTCTTGAGAAATAATCATTTTAAATAATTGAAACAGGTGTGTGTGTGTGTTTTTTTTTCTTTTTCTAATTAAACCAATACTATATTCAGAGGCAGATCTGAACAGTGCACAAGGACCAAAAATAAATAATATTAACATGCATAATCATATTAATTAATAAATCATATGTATATATATATATATATATATATATGCATATATATTTGTGTATTAAAACTATAAATTATTATTTGGTTAAACAATATCGAAACTTATTTAAAAATTACAAGTTACTTTAATCTTTACTTTTTAAATTGGTTGTAGTTAGTCAAAATAATTTATTCTTGCATTATATTGAAAAAATAAAATATTTAGGAAAAAAACAATTATTTAATTTTTGTACTAATTTCTGTTTGTCCTAATTACAATACTTTTTGCTGTAATAGATTAAAAAATAGTTGGAAAAACACTTTTTCTTCATATAGTGGTAAATGGAATATCAACACTTTCTCCTTCCAGTAAAAAAAAAAAAACATTTATTAGTTGTTTATTAACACATTACATGACCATTCCAATATTTTTGTCCAGAGTCACAAACTTACAATGGCTTGTGGCTGACGTGCAGATGGAGCAAATCAAATAGTTATTATTTTTTTAATAAAAAAATATTTATTATAAAAAATATTGTTTTTTTACTTTTTATGAGCGAGGTGCCGATTTTCGTTAAAAAAATGTGATTTTTTTAATTTACATTCGATCCTGGTATTTGAACCTGTCTCATTAACAAATGCATTTAAGCTTAATTATCCTAATAATCCATACAAAAAATACAATCAATCTCATTCAATATGTAGATGATCAACAAAAAAAAAATCACATGCAATTAGACAATCTTAACTCAATAATCTTAGCCCCAAGAGATCCACAAATAGCTAGGTGGATTAACTGGGAAAGCAAAACTTTTTCAGGTGTTAATTAATTGGTCCAATTCAATATAAACGGTAAAAATTAAATTAATTAAAAAATAAATTTTTATTCAATTGAATTAAATTTAAAATTTTATTTTAAAGATCAATCTAATTCAATATATATATATATATATATATATAATTTTATTTAAATTTAATTATATTTTTAGTCTCTATAAATATTTAGTATTTTGTGATGAGTTTTTAATTTTTTTTAAAGAATTTAGTCAACAAAAAACTAAAAAAAATTAAGATTTAATTTATAACATTATTTTCTTTTTATTAAATGTTAAGCTAGTTGATAAAAAACTAATTCAATACTCTCATATATCATGTTACTTATTATTTAATTTTTTATTATTTAAAATTAATATTTATAAATAAGTTTTTACTCACATTTTATATGATTACAAATGAATTCTGTTTCTTTCTTTTTTTCTTTTCCACCCTTCTCTCACCCTACCTTACATCTCTTCTTCACCCCTTATCTTCTTCCTTTTCTTATACCTATCTCTTTATTTCTCACTCCTTCTCTTCTTCCCTTCCCCACATCATTCTCCTTTCCCCTCCTCTACCTTGCACCCCTTCCCTTCCCTTTTTCTTCTTCCCTTTCCCACACTCATCCAACTTCTCTCTCTCCATTTTTTGTACTCTCACCCACTTCCTTTCTCCCTTTCTCACACCCCCACCTCTCTCCCACCTTTCCCTCACCTTCACTCCACAACCCTTGCCCTCCACTTCCCCATTCCCACGCCGCAACTCCTCTATCTTCCTTTCTTCCACTTTCTCTTGCACTCTTAATTCTACACTCTCTCCCACCCCATTCTCCATTTCCCTCCTTTCTGCACTGCAACTCATCTGTCTCTTCTTCCCTCACCTTCAACTCCATATTTTATTGCACTCTCAACCCCATACTTTTTTTTGGCCCCATTCTCCTTTTCCCAACCCCATCTCATTCTCCCTGGCACTCTCACACTCTTTTTCTTTCTTCTTATTTTATATTTTTTAGATCAAAAGTTTCACTAACTTGTAATGACTTTATAATTTTTGCTTATTGTTTGCAGCCAAAAAGAAAAAAAGAAATCAAATCATATAAGATTTTGAATGAGGGGTAAGAGAGGGTATAAGGTTAGAGTTGGGATGTGAGTGGATAATGAGAAAGGAAAGAGGTGGATAGTAGAGGAAGAGAAGGAGTAAAAGATAGACCTTTTTGTAAATATAAAAAATATAACTAAAGATTTATTTGTAAATATTAATTTTAAATAATAAAATATGATTAAACTAAATAACATGACATGCTATGTGGAAGTGCTGAGCTAACTTTCTATCAGCCAGCTCAACACCTAATAAAAAAAAGTTGACGATAATAATTAAATTCTAATTTCTTAACTTTTTAAAAATTAAATTTTAACAAAAAAATTTATATAAACTTATCACAAAATATTCAATATTTATAGGAAAAAAATATAATTAAATTATTTATTCATAACATTAACATTTTATTTATACTTTTAACATTGTATATTAATAAAATTATAATACTAAATTTTTTATAATTTTATTTTACATTATTACTTTTAAGAAATGTTTTATTATTTTTATGATTATATAAATATATTCATTTAAAATAACTTAAATTTATTTTTGTATATCATATTTTTATATAAATTTTTATTTATATAAGAAATTAACTTTATTTCCTAAACCATTTTATCTTACTAGTGGCACTTCTAAAAATTTCTCTTTCTCGTTGTAATAAAGCTGGCATTGATTAATGGACTCTGCATGAGATTAATTCATCTACCTTAATTTTTTAAAAGTTATTTTATCTATTTTTTATATACTAAGATATATTATTTTATTTTATTTTCTTTAAATTTTTGTTGAAAATTGTAATCTATTAAGAAATAAAACTATACTAATAACTATTTAAAATATCAAATTATTTTAATAATGTAATAAAATATACCATTGAATATAATGTAAAAACCTTACCATAGTTATATATAATTGGAATTATATTGCTAAAAACAATATGAGTAGCCATCTCCTTGAATTAACTAATTAATTCTGCAAAATACACGTTGTCCCTGTTTTTTTTTTAATGTATTAAAAATTAGGTGAATTGAATTTAGAGAGCTCATCTGGCTTAGAACATATTTTAAAATTCCAAAAATATTTACAAAAATAACTTATAAATCACATACCAATAAATTTTTTATATCAGTTGTCAGATTTATTAAACTTGCAAACTTATGAAATGCGAATCCAATCTTTAACAACTTGATTTTCTTCCCTTAGTAATATTTTAAGATTTTTTATTTTTCAAAAACAATTTTTAGAAGTAAAACTGAAAAAAATTGATAACACTTTGAAAAGAAGTTTTAGAAGTTAAAAGATAAAACAAGAATTAAAAAAATTAAGAAGTTATTCGTTTTTTATTGTTAATAATACTTTTCTTATTGTTTTAAAAAATTTTTTAGAACAGTTGATAAGAAATACATTGTGAAATATATATATTTTTTAGTTTAAAAACTAAACTCTTTTTATAAACGTTTTTCAAATAAGCCCAGAATTATTAATTACGATATTATCAATTATACTAGTATATTTATACAGTATTTCACTTTTCTTTTAGTTTTTATTTATTTTTGTATTATATCTTATTATTTATTATGTTTTTATTTTTTATTCTTCTCACTCCATAGACTTCAAAAATTGGATATATGATTAACGTTATTCTTATGGTAATATCATTTTAACTTTTGACCGGTGACTCAATACCTTGGTCGAATTAATCATCCATCTCAATTTTACAACATTGGATTCACAATTAATGGATCTAATTTTAAAACCATTGGTTGATGCAAAAGTGGACTCAGACATCTTACGTAGCCTGCAAACAAGAAATTAAACAAATTCCGGAAGAAGCGCCTTTTCTAATCCTGTCGTGTTTCCATGCTCTATCCACCAAGCCCAAGTTACGTACAAACATGATGAGAAGGTTAGCTTTTATAATAGGAGAAAATTTAGGGGAGGATTATAAGTGTTTTTTTTTTTTTTAATTTCAATTTGGATAAAATTTTTATCTCAATAATTCATATAAAAAAAGTCATAATTAAAATTTGGTATGTTATTTAAATAACTTTAATTTAATTAAAAAAAACTACTAAAAATATCTATGACATTGAAGATTTATCATCTATAATATTCATCATGTGGACATTCATAGGCATATTCCATATAAAAATTAATGCGAAGGTATATACCATTATAACATCTCTCCAAATTATATCGTATGATCTCACATAGTGGACACTTCCATCGTAAGGTTCATCTTCATTTTCTATCTGCTTCCATGAAAGATAGCAGATGCTGCTTGTCGGGCATATTGATCCATGCCTTTATACATATTCAATCAACAGCTCCAAATAGATATTTATATAGTGCGCAATTGCCACAAATTTCAGAAGCGCTACTTGTCGGGGCTTATTTGGTGAAGTACATATATGTCATTGATTCAATTAATTTGCAATATGTTTGAGTGAAAATTGAATTCTAGTTCCAAAAAAAAGCAACATGCATATACCACTCATGGAGGATATGATAATGGGATGTAATATGATGAAATTAAGAATTAATTCATTATCTGAAGAGAAAGTTACATCCCTCACAACATTTGCACTTTAAAGTATCTTTTGATCACCTGTTTATCGCTGCTGTCATGTACCAATACTCTTGTGGACACGTCCCATTAATTTGTTTGAGTGAAATTTGAATTCTAGTCTAGAGAAAGGAATACATGACGCTGAAGGAGGAACTCATAATAAACAGAACTTTTTATTTATTTGCAAGCATAGTTAACCTTGCGTCCAAGCAAGTGGGTACTAATATTTTAGTGGGTTTTCGCAGCGTACCATTTTCTCATGCCCTATTGGCTATTAGTCATTTGCCACTTCTAAATTCTAAGCACAAAGAACCTGTGGGAAGAACGTACAAGACAAATCTGAATCACTTTAGTGGACATTAGAAAAATTTACTTTCCGGTCGGTCATTGATTCAGGAATAAGGTAATAATGAGGAAGACAAGTTAAAAAAGAAAAAGCTTTTAAGAGACGCATTTTATGTTAACAATGTTTAATCTCTTCTCATTCTGAAATTGCTAGTGTTTAATTATAGTAGTTCCATGGAGAAGAAAGTTATAATAGTACAATTTTGGCAAGTTTCGATCGACGTCAATGGTTGAACTTTGAACCACTATGATCACACTAATTCCATCAATAATGTGTTGATTATTCGGGTTATTCTGCGAATTTTTCAATGATATATATAATAGGAACTATTTAATTTATATATTTCAAAGGGGCAACCGTATTTACTTCCTTGTCAAAAGAAGTATACATTTATGTTTTAACGGAAAAAGGCAGAAATGGGGGAAATTAAAGTGGAGATTTTTGTATACATCCCATGGATCAATAACCAGGAAATGCAATTTGACATGTTTCCCATTAATAGTTGAACCTAAATCGAATCACTACAGTCGAGGCCTCGAAGGCCATCTTAAAATTTGGGAATTCATATTCTGATATATCCTTGTTTTGAATGATTGGAAGAAAATTTACACCAGCTGATGCAATAGTAGTGTAATGCTTATAAGATTTTTCAGGCCTGGATGATGTGTTGTATATTTGGTTTTCGATTATTTTACATGGTCGATTTTTCAATTAATTTGACTTTTGTATTCAATTATGACTCCTACTCTATAATAATCGGTCATTTATTTTGTATCCAATGCTTTTTTTATTTTGTATTTAATATTCGTTGTAATGTTGTTAGTGTTGGGGAAAACCAAACACAAGAACACAATTATCTAAAGTGAGCAGCGGAAACAATTCCCCAAACTTGCAAGAACCTGTGAGGAGCAACAACAATAACAAATGGCAGCAACAAACACAAAGACACAGAGAATTATTTACGTGGGAAAACCCTCTCAATGTGAGAAGTAAAAACCCACGGGCTCAAGCCAGTCAATCAAGCTCCACTATAATCAAATGAGGTTACAAGAGAGTCTCAAAATACTGCACAAATTCGTGTAAACAACCAGCTAATACAACCAAGCAATAAAGCCGAGAGAAAATCTCACAAAATAGAGCTGCTGTTCATACACGATTTCTCTCAGCCAAAACCTCTAATCGACGATCCCAGCGGTCAGAATGAAGAAATATACGTCTGGGAACTAATGTCAAAGTTTCAGCTCAATCCAACGGTTAACTAAGGAGAAATAACAATTTCTCAGCAGCTGGTCTGTGCAGAGTCACCAAAAACAGGGCTTCTGTGCGAAGACAGTATCTCCAAATTCAGACCTCTAATTGACAATCCGAACGGTCAGAACAAAGAGCACCGTGTTACGAATCTGATGTAAAATTTTCAACCCGATCCAACGGTGAACTAATTGGATATCAGAAAAATGAAGCAGCTGGTCTGGAGCTTCTTTTCTTCCCTCACTTCCCTTCTCTCTTTTTTATGCCTCTCACCGAAAATGCTCACACTAGGCTGCGAAAATGGACTTCCCTCACCCACTCCACTGACTTCTCACTGCCCTCAATTAAGTGCGTAGAAAATGAGTTTGAAAATTTGGACTTTTGGACACATAGTTGGGAGTCCAACCCAACAGTTAGAATTAATAACCATCTTAGTTATATAAAATTTGTAGACAACAATAAATAAATAAACTTTTGTGTTAGTCTTTAAATTGCTATAAGTTTAGAACTAAATAAAACATTAAGGACAAAATTGGAAGTGAGTTACTTGAAGAGTAAGGAAGTAAACTACTTAGAGAGCAAAGAAATATACAACTT